CACACACACACACACACACACACACACACACATACACACACAGGAGTCCTGGTGTGGATTAATGTACTGGACTGCAAAGTCAGTTTGAACTGCAAGATCAGTGGTTCAAGCTCACCAGTTGCTCCTCAGAAACCCTATACAAATATATATATTTGTTGTTGTTAAGTGCTGTCAAATCATATATATATATATACATAACATTTCCTTCATTGTTAATTGCCGTTGAGTTGGTTCCAACTTATAGCGACCCCGTATAGGGTTTCTGAGGCATGGCTGGTAAGTTTGAACTGCCGACCTTGTGGTTCAACCTGACCTTGCAGTCCAGGGCCTATTCTACAGTGCCATACCAAATTTCATAATTTCCTTTAGGTACTGCAAAATAATCTTATAATGAGATACTTTGTATTACAAAGGACAGAGATTCATTCATGTCACCTCAAGAAAAAAATTCTGAAACGTTTGTGATAAAACTTCATGTCCACTGGGAATGGAAAGCAATCAGGCATAGAGGAAGGTTGAGGGAAGAGCTACTACTCCCTCCGCCTTTCCCGTGAGCTCATTCATGGTTTCTCTCACAGCATCTGTGACATGTATCCTCTGATTGTCGTTCTGACTGACCTCTTCTGCCTGGTTATAGTTTCTATTTCCTCCCAAGTTTGCTTTGAGTATGACCAGCATGCCGTACACAATCCTCTAACACTTCTAATGGCATCCTTTGAGTTCTTTTCTACTCCTATCTGGGTCTTTATTTTAAATCGAGGCTTACAAGAACTGCTAACCTGCACATTGCTGCTCTTGGGTTAGGTGACCTTTCACATCCAAACATCAGTAGCTTGAGGTGGGAGTAATTATTTAGTACAAAACTTTGGCCAGCTTGACACAGATGACTGACGGTGAAGCATTTTTCTCTCGGAGGGAGCTAGTCATATAATCAGCATTTGAGTTTTAATCTTTCCAGTAGCACTTCACAGACTGTAGTCAAGATCCTAATACTTTATGCTCTATAATAAACTTCTGTCTTTTAGAGATAAATTTTTGGTATTTAGGAATAAATTTGGGGGTAAGATCAATTCTATAGTAGTATCCAGCTTACTGACTTCCTCATTGGTTCCAACTTCTAATGACCCTGTGCAGGGTTTCCAAGGCTGTATAAATCTTTACAGAAGCAAAAAGCCTCATCGTTCTCCTAAGGATTGGCTGGTGGGCTCAAACTGCTAATCTTGTGTTTCATAGGCCACAGAAATACCACGTTGTCCACCTTTCTCATCTAGAACTAGTGAAAACATAAGCACTTTAGTTTTTCTTTCATGGTCTAGTACGCTTTAGGAAACACACTTGAATTATTTAAATTTTAAATATCATTTTTTAGATATGATGTTCACTTTTAAATTCTACATACAATTTCTAATACTCTTGAAAGAATTTAGTTCAAGCCCCTGGCCACTACATTGTTGCAATTTCCTCAAAGTCCAATCCATGAAGAGGAAAAGTTAGTCATGGGTCTTTATGGAACAAGTGACCAGGGAACTTTGTTTAGGGGGTCCTGTGGCAGCATGGTAGTTATGGGGGTGGGCTGTGCAGTCAGTTCTGACTCAGCGAGTTTCCAAGGCTGTGAGTCTTTGTTGCTGTTGTTGTTGTTGTTAAGCGCTATCGAGTTGGTTCCAAACCATAGTGACCCTGTATAGGGTTTCCGAGTTGCTGCTGGTGAGCTTGAACCACTGACCTTGCAGTTCAAACCGACCTTGCATTATTCTACAGTGCCACACCAGGAGCAGAAAGCCTCATATTTCTCCTGCCGTGCCGCTGGTGAATTTGGACTGCTGACCTTTTGGTTTAGCAGCCCAACACATACCCCACTATGCTGCCAGGTTCCTTTGTCAGAGAATAATGGAGTGGACATTTTTGGTGTGTGGAGTCCCTCCAATGCAAGGGATAATCCTAACATAGCTTTTGCCTATCTCCCACCGCACTTGATTTGAGTTCAGGTTCTTCTGTTTCATGACTTATCTGAACCTTAAACTAGAGAAAATTTCAACCAGTCCTTGCAAATCCCAAGTGGGGGAGCGCAACAATAATTTGTTAAACTCTGTCCTCATCCCAAGCTCACTCCTTTATGGCTCTCAAAGCCCAACCATCCAACTCAGATGCGCTGTTCAGTGATTATGGGATCCAATGAACCAGAAAGTGGAAAGTTCTGTGTATTAAAGTTGGGAAGTAGGAAGAAGGTGGAAATGAAAACGAAAAGGCCAACTCTGAGGGGCATTAGACAAACTATATTCTCTGCTACCATTCAGATTGTAAAGGAAATGGAAGGATGTTTGGCAATTTGAGGAGAAAATAAGGTATGATTTTTAGAAGGCATTTATTTCCTCATTGTTTATAAACTTCTAATTTTTTCATTTTCAAGATGATTATAGGGCTTGGGACATTCAGAAAAGTGAACTATATAAGCCAGAAGACACTTACCAGCCCCCTACTGTGAAATTTGGAAATTCAACTACATTTCAGGATGACTACATTCCTCAGGAGATAAAACCCAGGCAAAGCTTTAAACCAACCTTTGCAGTCAAGCGTTCCACAGTCCCTTTTCATGGTGACACAAGCCATCGCCTGGATTATGTCCCACATCCACTAGAATTCAAGTCTGCAAGGCCCAGAGAAGTTTATAAGCCAGCCAGCCAAGCACTTGAGTCTGTCACAACACACCGCCAAGACTTTCAAGGTCTTGTCGGTGAAATGGCTAAAATCTGCAAACCTGCATACAATAGAGTGACCCAAAACGCTCAGTTTGAAGGAAGTACTGAGTTCCAAGACAGTTTCCAACCCTGGGAAATCCCACCCCCTGTAGTCAAGAAGGCAGCGGAGTATGTCCCACCTACAGGTACCATGCAGTTAAACAGCACAAGTCAACTTGACTACGTTCCCTACCAGGTCCACCGTGTGGCTGCCATAAGACCAGTTTCTCATAGAAGGAACAACAATGCTCCTTTCCAAGGGAAAAGCACCACGAAAGAAGATTTCCCGGCCTGGGAAAGTTGTCGTCAAGGAATTGTTAAGAGGCAACAGCAGATTCCCAACCCATCTGGAAAATTTGACGGTCTGAGCACTTTCCAATCTCACTATGTGCCCCATGAACTGATTCCCACAGAGAGCTGCAGGCCTGTAAATGCTGCTCTGTCGAGCTCTATCCCGTTTGACGATGTGACCATGTACTCCGTAGAATACACACCCAAGAAGCAGGAAATCTGCCCTGCCAGCTATCCCTCACCTCCAGGGTATATATTTGAAAATACAGATTCCCAAGGTCATAAATTCTTCCGCAAGATCACTCCCGCAGTGAAGGCCTTCTAATCCTCAGAGTGTGCTTCAACCGAAGTCGGCTAGTAAGATGTTGGTTTTCCAAGAGCAAAATCAATTTTTAGAATGGAAAAAAATTTATGAGAGATATAACTAATCTTTTTTTTTTCTTCTGAGTTTTAAACAACAAAACTAGAAAAATGTATTATAAAGGAAGTGAGAATCTTCAAATCCATTTTAGTTTTTTTTCTTTTAGCCAAGATTATTTTTTATGCATTTTTGAAAACAGTACAATTTTAATATCTAGCATATCATCGGGAAGCTTGTCCCCAATCTGGTATCATTTTATAATTCTGTTTATAATGATAGGATTGTTTACATCCCTGTTTTCATTTAAGAAGTGCCTTAGGACTTTATAGAACACCACTGAAAATGATAGACGGACTCTTCCAAGATATCAGCATTCATTTTCATCAGACTTCAAGGCATCCACATAGTGGATAGTAAGTGAGGTTTTGGCTTGGGATGTTAGATACCACTGCGTTGCTCCTCATTGTGTTCAAGTTAGCAAGAGGCATAGGGGTATGAACGGAAAAGGCTGGGAATCACATGACTGGAGCTCAAGGTTCAGTTATTTCCATTTCTCTTTGTGCCACTTTACGCAAGTGACTGATCTCACAGAACCTCAGTGTCTTCATTTGTCAAAGGATATCTGCTCGGCCAACTGCACACAGTTTATTTTGAGCATCCGATCATGTATTTTAATCAATAAAGTCAAAGTACTAAATTAATGTAATTTTAATAATTTATATAATCTTTTCTTCTTTTGTGTTCCTACACATATTTTTTTCAGATTCAAATGCCTTTACTAAATTAATGTAATATTAATAAGTTACATAATTTTTTTTTTGTCCCTACATATATATTTTTTTCCTTTTTCAAATTAGGATAATTTCCTGCTGAATACACATATTCTGGTCTGTACCTAGTTTGCTTTGAGCTGATATTTGCTCCTCTCTATGTTTCAAAATCACCCAAGAAGTTATTACAAGAAATGGAGAGCTTGGATTGGGATGAATAACATGGTTTGAAGCCAGGCTTTGCAGAAAGGAAGAAGTATTTGGTCAGGTAGACTTAGAAAGGACCAACTGCCGTGAGGTAACCTTAGATAGGATGCACCTCATTGCATCACAGCGCCCAGCATCCCCCCAATCACCGCATCCCACTCTGCCTGTAGGAAGTTAACTGCTAAGCAGGGAAGGGCAGAATGGTGCTGTTAATAACATACTGCATTTATAATACTGAAAAGTTCCTAATGAATGAAACTTTTACAGGGCGTTTTTCCTTTGATAAGTAATTGATTACATTTTGAACGACTATGATTTATTTTGCTATAAAGTTAATTTGAGGCTCTTTTGTTGCTTCAAAATTGTTTTAAAAGATAGACTTAATTGAGTAGTTCATCAATATTGGTTTTAAAATGTCAAATCATTAAGTAACTTGTTTCTATTTACATACGAACAATATATGTGGCATTTTCTGTCTCTGTACAACATTAAAACAATCAAAGGAATGGATTTTTATTGAGTAATGTTTGTACCCAGCTTTATCTGGAAAATAGAGCATTATAATAACATCTGTTTAGGTTTACCAGTTCTACCCAATTAAATCCCCTCAACTTTTAGATGTTGCTGTTAAGTGTCACAGAATCAATTCTAACTCATAGACACCCCGTATAGCGTTTCTGAGGAGTGGCTGGTGAACTTGAACAGCCGACGTTGCAACTCAAAGGACCTTGCGGCCCAGTGTTTACCTTGCAGCGCCACCCAGGACTCCTTTTAGATAGTTGTTGTTAAGTGCCTTCGAGTCAGCTGCAACCTATAGTGACCCTGTATAGGGTTTCCGAGGAGCAGCTGGTGAGCTTAAACCGCCTACCTTGCAGTTCAAACGGCTTTGCAGTCTGGCGCATTAACCCACAGCGCCACGCAGCAGTATTATATACACTGTAGCATTTTCTCATCCTGTCCCATTCTCCAATGCTGCATATTCAGATCTCTCAGTAAACTGATGGACGTCACCCACTCGCTCCCTGTGCAAGGATCACCGGTAATAAGACATCCACTGGGGTTTCCTCAGGACACAAAGAGTCTCCCCCGGAATCTGTTACTCAATATAATAAGTGTGAAAATAGATAAGGGCATAGAGGCAGACATAGAAGGATAACTTGCGTGGGAATCAGGGAAGTCTTCCTAAAGGAGAAGACAGCTGAGCTGAATTTTGAAAGTTAACAACTGACTAGGTAAATAAAAGTACTTGAGAACATCATGAACTCAGGAAGGTTAATAGGAGTCTAAATGTCTGTGCAGGAGTTTAAGGGACTTCCCAAATATCTTGGCGGAACGTTAACAACCCCGGATTCATCCTTTCCTGAGATTTTGAAATGCTAATACTACGTGTGATCACACACACACATTCTCATAATGTTTTAAAGGGTGAGGTTGTGACTTGGCTGTATGACCGAGTTGCTGTCTCTGGTCATGTGAGGTAAGAAGAGAAAATGCTCCCACAAGATAGAAGGAGGGACAGAAGACAAAAATCAGAAGAAAATCCAACAACAACATAAAGGCAATAAAACGGGAAAAAGAAAATAATAAAATAGAATAAAAGGCAACCAGGAAATAACAGCAAGAAAATAAAAGTAATTCTTTAGCGCCACCTAATGGACTCTTGCCTTCACAGCTGCTTGAGAAATTTCAAGAAGGTCCCATGGCATCTCTCTGACCTATCCTGAACTCTTTTCTTTTTCTCCCCTCTCCTCCGCTTTTTAAAAACTCACCCTCAACTGCATTCAGCGGCTTCTCCTAGTGAGAGCTGGCCCAGGGCTGGCCAGGACCCACTTGGAAGAAGAGACTACTGGTGTGGGCTGTTTCGCTGTCTCCATCCTCTCCAATTATGTGTCCAGCTACGGATCCATGAGGGGCCGTTCCTGGGGCTGTCTACTGTACAAGTCTCACCTCTGGTTAGCAGAGATGAAATGATTAGAAAGAAGAAAAAAAAAATTGCAGACAGGCTTCTGCAATAGTAATGCCATCTTGTCTCTCAATCTGCTCACTCCCATACAGCATGGCTCACATGGTTTTAACAACAGGACACTAGTAATACTTAAAGTTAATTAATTAACTTAGTAAAGCATTTACTGTGAATTAAGTGAAGGTTTACAGAACAAATAATCAGTTTTGATTCATTATAATTGCAATCCCTCCCATGTACCAGTAGTTAACAGTTGTTGTTTTTCTTAAGTGCAGTGGTGTCGGTTCCGACCTTTTTCTGTTGTTGTTGTTAGAGCCATAGAGTCGGTTCTGACTCATAGTGACCGTAGGCATAAGAGAACAAAACACTACCTGGTCCTGAGCCAACCTCACAATCGTTGCTATACCTTAGCCTATTGCGGCTGTCACTGTGCCAATCCACCTCACTGAGGTCTTCTGACACACAGGGACTCTGTATCGGGTTTCCAAGGAGTGGCTGTGAGCTTGCACTGCCAACCCTTAAGCTCAAACCAACTAACTTTACAGCCCAGCGCTTTAACCCACAGTGCCACACCCCGACTCCTTAATGGTTAACAATATTTCCTTCTATTCACTTGACCTCTAACAGTTCTCTCTTTGTGTCCCGCTATTTTCATCTTTCCTCGGCTAACCTCCTTCTTGTTGTATAGTGCCTGCCCTGTCACCATGTTAACATGTGTCTACTCTCTATCACATGAATAATTCCTCCCTCTTCTCCCCACATAACCATCACAGGTTGTTTCTTTCACCAAGAAAACCTTTTAGATTTTTATAACATTGGTTTCATACAATATTTGTCCTTTTGTGATTGACTAATTTCACTCATGTAAAAGCTGGACAATGAATAAGGAAGACCTTTTTTTAATTTTGGTGTACAGGTGTATTCATTTTCTGGATGTAACCAGGTAATTTATCAATCCCCCCCTTTTAAAGCCATCTGTTTTATCTTAAAAATCTGCTTGACTTCCTTGCCATTTGAAAGTTCTGTATCTACGTTATTCCCTCTTTTTGCTTTGTAGTTGAGTTTATTGAACGTTGATATTTCTGCTCCCCTATATTTAGTCAGCTCTGGTAGCATGGTGGTTACGAATCAGGCTGCGAACCTCAAGATCAGCAGTTCGAAACT